GGAGGAGGCCCCCCGCCTGCCGCGGCGAGCCGTCGGCAAGCACTGATTTGGGGAGCAGTCGGCGAGCCGTCGGCAAGCGCTGATTGTGAGGGGTGCGAGAGGGAGGGAGAGAGAGAAAGAGAGAGAGAGAGAGAGAGAGAGAAAATGACATTCATTTGCCACCGCCAAGCCCAAGGTCCCCGATTGGGTCAGGGCGGTCTGCACACCCGCGGGCGCCCTTCTGCGTGTACACATCCTCATGTTCGTCCTCCTCCTCCTCGTCATCTTCCTCCTACCCCTCATCCTCTTCCTCCTCCTCCTTCTCCTCCTCCTCCTCCCCCCCGTCCCCTTGCCCATCCCCTCTCGTCCTGATCGTGATCCTTCCTCCTCCTCCGCAGCATCATCCTCCCCATCTTCCTTAACATCTTCTCCTCATCCGCATCCTCCTTGTCCTCATCGTCATCCTCACCCTCATCATCCCCATCGTCCTTCTAGTGATCTTCCTCGCCAGTATCATGTATCCCTGATACGCCTGTTCCCTCATCCTCACTTGGCTCTCCACCTCCCCCTCCTCAGTACCATCGTTTTCCTCATCCTCCTCCTCATCATAATCACCATCCTCATCCACGTCCACATCCTCCTCATCCTCCTCCTCCTCCTCCTCCTCCTCCTCCCCCTCCTCTTCCTTATCCTCCTCCGTATCCTCCTCCTCGTCGGCACTGGCGTTCTCACGCCTCCTCGCAGCCCTGGGCGACGGCCTGCAGGTGCTGCCGCAGGCGCAGCCACGACGCCACGGCGTCCACGCGGAAGCTGAAGGCCTTGTCGGTCAGGCTCACCGACGGGCGCTGCACGCGCCAGGCCATCTTCGCCAAGTCCGCGTAGACCTTGATGCCAAGGCTCGGGACGTTGATCGTCGGCACCTTGGACGTCGGCTTGCCAGGGAAGCCGCCTAGAGCAACCTCCCACGCAGCCTTCTTCTCCTTGGTGACGGGCGTCGGGGTCAGCTCCGACTGAGTCTTGCCCGTCAGCCTGACCTTCTTGAACGGCGTGCGCGTCGAGGCGGCTGGCCGCTTGAGGACAGGCGACGCTGCCTCGCCGTCGGTCTTGTTCTTCTTGGGCGTCGCTGTCGTCTTGTCGATCGTCTTGGCCTTGGCCTTGGCCTTAGCCTTGGCCTTGGCCGTGCGCTTCTTCCCCTTAGCGTTCCGCCTCGCCGCAATCTCATCGGGCGTGTACTCTGGCTTCTGGGCGAGCACGGAGCGCATGTGGCTGAGCATGTCCGTAGTCGAAGGCGCCGTCGCCGCCGCCTTGGAGCCGACCTCAGGCGCAGCGTCGCCCTCAGCCACCTCCCCGACGGAGTCCATGCGCCAAGCGCCCATGCTGGCGTCGCTCGCGCCAGCACCCGCCGCCGCCGACGACGCCTGACTGGACAGCTGCCACACCGCGAGGCTCGAGCCCGAGTCGAGGCGGAAACCGTCGTCGGTGCTCACGATCTGTTGCCGCTGCACAGCCGCCACAGGGATCGCGGGCTGCATCAGCGCTGGCAGCGGCGTTGGGCTGGCTGCCCGTTGCACCGCCGCTGGCGGAGGCAAGGCGAGCAGCGCCGCCGAGGGCGCATCCGCGGGCGGCGGCACGGCGAGCGGCGGCGCCGAGGGCGCACCCGCGGGCTGCGGCACCACCGAGCTGCGCGCGGCGTCGTCCAGCAACGCGAGCGGCTGGGACCTCATTGGCGGCCTCAGCATCACGAACCCTGGGAGGTCGACTTGGCCACCTGCACACAGCGAGTTGCCAGAGCCTGCCCTGCGAACTGGATTATGCTGGACCTGCAGCGACGTGTGAGTCTTCCGAGCAGGAAGGCGCGCCGCCAACGCAAACCGCATGCCACCGCGGTGGCGCCACTGGCGCAATGCCGAACTTGATGCTACCCTTGTATTCGCCCATCCCCCCGATGCTCCACATCCTCCTCCTCGTCCTCCTTTTCCTCCTCCTCCTCCTCCTACTTCTCCTCCTACTTCTCCTCCTCTTCCTCCTCCTCCTCCTCCTCCTCCTCCTCCCCTTCCCCACCGCGCATCCTCCTCGACCCCTCCCCCCCCCGCCGTGCCCCGCCACGGGGTGAGGGGCAGGGGGGAGGGGGGTCTGGGGTAGAGGGCCAGGCGGGTCAAGCGGCAGCTGTTTGGATCAACGTGGCCTCGTCCAGCGGGCAAGGGGCTGGCTCCTCAGCGGCGAAGGCGTGCCTGTAAATGTCTGGGTTGGATGCCAAGAGGGCCTGCGGCGACGGGGGCAGCTTCGCGATGACCCCGTGGCGCGGGAGCCTGCAGGGGTGCACATTGCATGACGCGCCCAAACGTCCTGACTAACCCCCGCCTGGAAATCTGAGCACGCGCGGGGGGGAAGGGGCCGTTGATCTAAACACCATTGCCTTCCAACCTGCGCGACGAAGGGGATGGGGGAGGAAGAGGAGGAGGAAGAAGAAACGGAGGAGGAGGAGGAAGGAGAGGAGGAGGAGGAGGAAGAGGAACACCAGCTGCAGGAGGGGGGAGATGAGGCGGAGGAGGAGGAGGAGGAATCTAACGGAGGAGGACGGGAAGGGTGGAGAGGAGGACGATGATAATGCCGAGCAGCAGATGGAGCAGGATCAGCATGCATGGCCCCATCGGCGCGGGGATGGGGGGGAGGGTGGACGGGGGAGGAGGGTGTGTGTGTGGTGTGTGTATGTATGTATGTATGTATGTATGCATGCATGCATGCATGTATGTATGTATGTATGTATGTATGTATGTATGTATGTATGTGTGTATGTATGTATGTATGTATGTGTGTATGTATGTATGTATATATGTATGCATGTATGCATGCATGCATGTATGTTTGTATGTATGTATGTATGTATGTGTGTGTGCATGTGTGTGAGAGAGAGTTATTGTGTGTGCGTGTGTGTGTGTGTCGTGGGTGCTTTTTTGGGTTGGTGAGGCTGGGGTTGATGATGGGGTGGGGGTGGAGAGCAGGAGGGGGGGGGAGGTGGGCGATGTGAGGTATTCAGAGCGTCCCCACCAACGTTTTCCTTGCAACGCTAACCCAAGGGCAGGCCTTAACCCATGGGCAGGCCTTAACCACGGGGGCGCCCGCGAAGCGCAGGGAGGAGGACGATGGGGGAGGGGGAGGGCAGGTAGGACGCGTCGGATGAGGAGGAGGTGCAGGAAGGGGGAGG